GTGTTTTTATATCCCAGTTCTTACTGCTACGATCAGGTGAGTTTTACATGCTATGCTTCTGTTTTCAGGTGGAGGTGACAGGTTTATGAACCAGACTTGAGGTAGAAGCAGGAACACCTACCGAGAGGCCCTCCTCCCAGTAGAGGGTGGGGCGCACGGGGTCTGCTCGCATGGCCAGCAGGTGGAGGGCCCTCCCGGCCAGGCCCAGGAGCTGGGCACGGATCTGCACGCAGTTCACGCACAGTGGCTGCAGGCTCCCCAGCTGCTGCAGCGCCGTGTGTGCCAGGGTGCGCTTCAGCGTGAGCCATTGCTTCAGGGAGACAAAGAGCATGGTCACCACTGCAGGGGCTGCAGTGCGGCCGTCCACCCCTCCCCTCGGTCCCTGCACCCCCCACCCCAGGGCTGAGCTGTTGGAAAGGTCACTAGAGTGTGCTTATGTAACCTTAATTCTGAGGCCCTTGACAAATCAAGTTCAATTTTAGGACTATCTCTTGTTTATTTATGTCTATGCCAAATTAATTTGATTCATATTTCATGAAATCTAAGAAAATGTAAAACGGAAGAACATATGTTTCATTTAAAACAAATATTTCGCATGTTCAACTTTTCTTTTAACAAAGTGTAATTCACCTTTATCGAGCTCTTGAACTTGCTAACATAGAGTGAACTCACGACTCGGGAAGGAAAGCCGAAAGGTCACACAGGAAACACCCCCAATAAGGCCTCTGTTTCATTAGCCAGTTAAGTCCCCTCAAGCAATCAAACAAGGCCTTTCTTAGGCAAGGCCAGGAAGCCCAGTGAGCTGCCGAGGCAGGGAATGCACTCGGTCCCCAGGCTGATGGCACCGTCAGGCGCTCAGTGAAGCAGACAAGTCTCTGGAGTGGGGTCCCCTCAGCTTGACTGTGGTGTGAGGGGGACGTGTGGCCCAGGCAGTCTCTCTGCAGAGGATCTGTAAGAAAGCCCCGACAATCACCAGGCCGACGGGGCTGTCGCCGCTGGTGCTGTGCAGGTAATCTGCGAGTAACCTCTCCACGGAGCCCTGCTCCAGCTCCCGCTGCAGCGCCTCCTCCCAGGTGACCTGCAGCACGTCCAGAGACACCTCGGCGAGGCTGAGCTTGAGGCGGGCGAGCTTCCTCATCAGGGGCGTGTTGACGTTCTGCAACAGACAGGGCCATGCACGCGGTCAGAGCGCCGAGGCCTTCTCATGAGCCCACGCCCCCCGCCCCGGCTCTGACGAGGCACGAGTGGCATAGAACAAACTGCACGTGTCTAAAGTGTAAAACTGAGACATCTGGACGTGTGGACACTCCCACAAAACCATCACCAGCCGACATAACGGACACATCCTTCACCCCCACATCTCCTCGCATCCCTTCCTGAACCTCCCTCCTTTCCAGGCACGAACTTAGCTCCTTTCTACACTTATTAGTGTCCATTTTCCAGAAGTTTACATGGGTGGAGCTGTGGCATGCGTGGTCTTCTCACGTGGTGAGTGTCACGCAGCGTAACTGCTGCCAGGTGCCTCCGTGCTGTCACACACACATGCATCCCTCTTTCGGCTGAGTGTCGTCCCACTGTGTGGCTGGGCCGCATGCTGTCCATCCGCTCGCGCTTTGTCTCCAGCCTGGGGCTAGTACAACACCGGCTGCT